GTTGCCTATGGCAACCAATCAGCTTCTCTCTTTAGTTTGTTCAGTTAAGGTTTGAAAATGACAGAGAGAAGCTGATTGTTTGCCATGCACAGCTGCTCCAGATTTTGTCTGCTCCAGTTTTGATAAATTCCCCTCAATGTATGTATAATGTATTCCTCTATAGCTGGTGGTATTCTGCATTGCTGTATAATGCATTGCTGGGATTTATAGTCCTCTATAGCTGGTGGTATTATTCTACATTGTTGTTGTGCTGAGATTTGTAGTCCCTCTACAGTTTGGAGTTAGTGGCAGAACTAGCAGTGTCGCAGCAGTCGTACACGCGCACAGCACTGACGAGGCATCCCTCCACTACCAGTGTGCTACAATTTTCCTCAACCGATAAATTTCTCTACGGCGTCTCTTCCAGGTGCGCATGTCATGAAAACAGCTGATTCGGATGACTCGGCCCCACTGGAAGTGACACAGTGGAGAAAATGTATAGGATCGAGAAAAATTATAGAACACTGACTTTGACACTGTCCGGCCCCTCCCACTAACCTCCCACAGCTCACAGCCCAGAAGCATGGACAGCCAGTTCCCCGGCAATTCATCTTAGTGAATTGGCCCACTATTTGAAAAATAATGTGGAGAAAAAATTTCTGTGACACAAGAATGTCTATGCAGGTGGGGCATGTGGGAGGGACTTGTATATGGGCGGAGCACAAGGGGGCCCCATAATCTTGTATTGCCCGGGGGCCCCATGTGTTGTCAGTCCGCCCCTGGCACCAAGGCTTAAGTTAGTGGAGTTAAAGATGATAGGTACAGCTTTTTTTTAACAAAAATGTTGCATGTCAGGAATGTCTTCATGCTGGACGATGTACAGACTTTGCACCTTTTATAATTAATACTAAATGAATGTTTAATTTTCATACCAAACTAGGAGATTAAACTGCATACAACTAGAAATACTGCAGAACTCACAGAGTTATCTGCCAACTACAGAGAAACAAAGTTATCAGCGGCTAGCTGACCACTTAGCTCAGTGACATATTAAGCTGACGAAGTTGCCCCTCAAAATTTGGAAGGCAACTTGATCTGAGCAGCACATAACCAACTCCCAACTTTTGTGATGGTGAAGTCATTGTTGGTTATGTCATCATCATCGCTGACCCTTAAATTTGGCAGCCTGCAGTGTCTGTGGGCTACGAGACTCTGCTGAGGATTGGACTGGAACCAAGCTAAGACTGTTATTTTGTAACCCATCTTCTGTAACCAAGATAAAGGAGAACTATTAATGAAAATCACTCATCCTCATAATTCGAGCCGACGTGTGACAATGAAACTGTCACACGTCGGTTCTATAGATCGGGAAGTGAGCGTACACATACCGTCGCTCGCTCACTTCTCGATCATCTCCCTGCAGTGAGCCGTGACTGTCACTCACGGCTCCTTGCAGGGATTCCCCCCTCCGTGCTCCGATCCTCCAGCACTGACTGGCGGAACGGACGGGGGAGGGGGCTGGTACAGCTGGCTCTACCTCTAGATAGGCAGAGCCAGCTGTCAATCACGCAGCTGGGTGGATCTCAACAGTAATGTCGGGATCCGTCCCGGCTGCGGCGGTCTCAGTGTACTGCAAGCTGTAGCTCGCAATATACTGAGCTTTGGATAAGAAAAAAAAGAAAATATATACTGAGCTTTGGGACACAGGAGGACGCTAGTTTATGTCCTCCCGTGACCCTTAGGAGAACTATGGGGAAAAACACTGACCCCATAGTTCTCTTTTAAGTAGACATTTTACTTTTTATTCTTTTAAACTGGATGCAGCCAGTACAATATCAAGAGCCTTAAATGTAACCTGTGTCAGGTAGTTGTATTATTATTATATCAGCATAGTCAGGCTATTTATAAACCCTGTTATGACATTAAATTAAGTGATGGTTGTCATAAAATGACATCTATACAGCCACATAGAGAACTTACCCTTCCTGACTTCATCCTCCACGGCGGCTGGGCTTTTAAGGTCTATGACAATAGTTTCATAGCTTATTTTGCCAGACCACTCCAGACCACTGGCAGACTTTTTTAATTTGAGTTCCAATGGACAACGTGTGACGATACCTGCACAGAGTGAGAATAAATTACTATCATTAAGTTTTTCGGCATCATATCATTTAATTTGTAATTTAAAGCCCAAACTGAACTGTCAGAATAAAGCAGCTAAATATATTCCAGGTGCATGAAAACTAAACGTCTGCAAAGTCTTGTACTTTAATTTGTTTAAAAAGCAGCCACAGCCAGAGAAGAAAAGCCTGCTGGCATGCTGCAGAGAAGGACCTTGCTCTCTACGTGGAAGCAGCGATCTCTTTGCAGAGATCCAAGATACTCCTTGTATATTACACCCCTTTCACACTGGCCGATCAGGAGAGGATCCGTCAACAGATCCTCTTCTGATCAGAGCGGCACATATCAGATGTCACCGCTGTGACATCCGTGTCTGTACAGTAAAAACTGAAAGTGCCGGACCCCATGCAAGCCTATGGGAAATCTGATGTAAACGGGCATGTGTTAGTTTACACCAGATTACTTCCGATCAATGATTCGTCTGTTTTACCGGACCGAGCCGAAACTAACTGGGTGTAAACGGATGCTCGTCCATTTAAACCCGGCTGCCCATAGACTTCCAATCGGGTTCGCTTGAAAAACTGACAGGTGGACCCGTAACTTTAATCTATGAGAGCCTCCATTTTGGAACATATGTACAGTTGTGCTCATAAGTTTACATACCCTGGCAGAATTTATGATTTCCTGGCCATTTTTCAGAAAATATGAATGATAACACGAAAACCTTTCTGTCACTCATGGGTAGTGTTTGGCTGAAGCCATTTATTATCAATCAACTGGGTTTACTCTTTTCCAATCATAATGACAACAGAAACGACCCAAATGACCCTGATCAAAAGTTTACATACCCCAGTTCTTAATACGGTGTGTTGCCCCCTGTAACATCAATGACAGCTTGAAGTCTTTTGTGGTAGGTGTGGATGAGGCTCTTTATCTTCTCAGATGGTAAAGCTGCCAATTCTTTATGGCACAAAGCATCCAGGTCCTGTAAATTCTTGGGCTGTCTTGCATGAACTGCACGTTTGAGATCTCCCCAGAGTAGCTCAATGATATTGAGGTCAGGAGACTGAGATGGCCACTCCAGAACCTTCACTTTATTCTGCTGTAGCCAATGACAGGTCGACTTGGCCCTGTGTTTAGGATCACTGTCATGTTGGAATGTCCAAGTACGTCCCATGCGCAGCTTCCAGGCTGATGCATGCAAATTGTCCTCCAGTATCTTTTGATAACATACTGCATTCATCGTGCCATCAATTCTGACCAACTTTCCTGTGCCTTTGTAGCTCACACATCCCCAAAACATCAGCGATCCAGCTCCGTGTTTCACAGTAGGAATGGTGTACTTTTCATCATAGGCCTTGTTGACTCCTCTCCAAATGTAGCGTTTATGGTTGTGGCCGAAAAGCTCAATTTTGGTCTCATCACTCCAAATGACTTTGTGCCAGAAGGTTTGAGGCTTGTCTCTGTGC